TTTAGTGTGTGTGTGTGTGTGTGTGTGTGTGTGTGTGTGTGTGTAGTGTGTGCTGTGTGCCTCCATATGGATGCTGGGCTGCTGCTTAGAACCAAACCCAAGTCCTCTCCAAGTGCAGCAAGTTCTTTTTGTTTGTTGGTTTGAGACAGGCATTCTCCGGTCAGTGGTGGCATACAACTTTTTTTTTTTTTTTTTTTAAGATTTTATTTATCTATTATGTATACAACATTCTGCTTCCATGTGTATCTGCACACCAGAAGGGGGCAACAGATCTCATAACAGATGGTTGTGAGCCACCATGTAGTTGCTGGGAATTGAACTCAGGACCTCTGGAAGAGCAGTCAGTGCTCTTAACCTCTGAGCCATCTCTCCAGCCCAGTGGCATACATCTTTAATCCCAGCACTTGGAAGGCAGAGGCAGGAGGATCTGAGTTCAAGGCCAGCCTGAAGTTAGTTCCAGGACAGCTAGGGAGTGCCACACAGAAATCCTGTCTCAGAAGACTAAGGGTGGGGCTGGAGAGACGGCTCAGAGGTTTAAGAGCACTCGCTGTTGTTCTTCAAGAGGTCCTGAGTTCAATTCCCAGCAACCACATGGTGGCTCACAACCATTAGTTACGAGATCAGGTGCCCTCTTCTGGCATGCAGATAGACATGCAGACAGAATACTGTATACATAATAAATAAATCTTTAAAAAAATACTAAGAAGGGTTTAAGAAAAGCTATAGACACAAAACAAAATGTCCAGAATTGGCAAATCCATCAACAAAAAGAACACTTAGGAGTCAGGTACGGTAGTGACCCACACCTGTAATTCTAGCACTTGAGAAACTGAAACAGAGTAGTTAAAAGGACAGGGTCAGATATGGCCTCAAGTAAAAGGAAAAGAGAGAGAAGTTCTCCTGTGGCTGGCAGGTGCTTCTGAGTGTAAGAGCTCAGAAAGGAAATATCAAAAAGTGAGTATTAAACCAGGGAGGCAGAGGCCAGAGGATGTCTGAGTTCTAGGCCAGACTGGTCTAAAAAGAAAAGTCAGGACTACCCAGAGAAACCTTGTCTTGAAAAACAAACAAAAAGCAAATCAAAACAGTGAGTATTAACAGGTATTATGTTTCCTTCTGAGGTAGCAAAAACCTCCTCAGATAGTAACAGATAGATACCTTAAAACAAAACAAAAAAAAAAAAAAAAAAAAAAAAAACCTTAAAAAAAAAAAAAAAAAAAAAAAAAAAAAAAAAGCACTGAATCACACACTTCCAATCACATAAAGGATCATAAGTTTGGATTTAACTCAGGCTACCTAGTGAGGTCCTGTCTCACAACAAGAAAAGTCTGGGGAGAAGAAAAGGTGGGACAGAAAGTGTCTAATAAATATAGTAACAAACATATTCAACTACATTTCTTTCATGTCAAAAGCTTTATCCATCCTCTTGGCTGAAAACCACTAACTATCTCACCACTAATAAAGAGGGCCTTCTTTCAAGGGCCAATCAGAGCAGAGCTTCTCTAACTTACATCACTGAACTCCAGTGGTAAACTCTCAGTGGGCTGAAGCTCGGCAGCACTCAAGTACAGATCCATGGGGCCGGCTTCCAGATCGTCTGGCACAGACAGTACCTGCTCGGGCTTATACATCTGAGGAGGCAACTGGAAATGCAGTGGACAGCAGGGGTCCTCAGAAAGGCTTACAGGAACAGGTTTGTTGCAGGGTACCTCTTCAGACCCCTGGCAGCATTTGAAGAGAACCTGATTTGTGTCCTGGCAAATATCTGCAGAAACAGTTAAGGAAGTAGACCCAATCCATTGGAGGTGCACAGTCCAGGAGTCTGCCACGCGCCCCACACACACACACACACACACACACACACACACACACACACACACACACACACACACACACACTCAGAGAACTATGTTTTTATAGAAAACCAAATGCAATGAGTAATCTTTAGTTCTCAAAGTAAGTGTCATTTTGTAGCATATAATTTTAGCCCTACCAATAATTGATAATTCAACCTCCATCTCTTTTCCAGGATTCTGGTCAGTTAAACTAAAGACACTTAAGCCCTACTGTGCCAGTGCTAAGGAACATACTCGGACAGAGAAAACCCATATGGTAACAGAGAAAAAATCTTGATGCAGAAGCACCTACCAACCTCTTCCAAGACACAGTGTTGTTTCTGCTCTTAAACAAACTAAGTCTGTAGAAACACTGTTCCTAATAACATAATACATTCGCTTGGAACCCAAGACCCCACTACTTAGTCACACATCTGTAGAAACACTGTTCCTAATAACATAATACATTCGCTTGGAACCCAAGCTTAGTCACACAGAATCTATTTCCTGATCTTCCCACCATTACCTCTGAAGTGCTGAGGTTACAGGCGTGAATCACTGTGCCTGGTTCATTTCAAAAACTTTTACAGTAAATATTTAAAAGGTTGCTTGTTGACACAGGGTCACTTTACATAGCCCTGGCACTCATTAGACCAGTATGGCCTCAAACTCTGCCAGCATCTGCCTTCTGAGTGCTGGGATTAAAGGCATGCACCACCATGCCCAGCTAAAAGGTTCTGTTTTGTTGTTTATTTTCAATTAGCTTACAAAGCAGCGGGTTTCCTTAAGTATTTCATAGTTTGTTTCAGTTAATTTCCGTCCCCATCCTCCTCACACTAGCATTCTCCCTCTACTTTAATATCTCATGTGTTCTATAGGCTCTAATCCCTCCCTTAGAGCCCCTTCAACCTCCACCCCATACATCAGAGGCTCTTTGCAGTTTCCTGGCCTTTACCTAGTCCAATTATGTTTTAAACAGTCATCTTTAGAGCTTAATACTTTGCATAAGCATTTATATTCTAAAAGCAGTAACTCTAAATAAGGTGTGGTAGTGTACACCTGTAGTCCCAGTACTGAGGCTAAAAAGATAAGCCATTTAGACATTAGTGTAAAATTGAACTTCAAATATTTCAATGAGGGAAGAAAAAAAACAAAAATAAAAACAACCCTTTCCTGTCAAAGGCAGGACCAAGAGAAGGTTCTGTTTTTCCCTCCCCACTTCCTTCATACATTGTAGCCCATCAGCAATGCAGTTCTATACCAGAAAGCATATGGTGTTAATGGTTTAAATTTACAAATTAGAAAGGGAGGAGGGGGAGATAGTCCAATTTTTGAACGTTTCTAATTTGAGTAAGTTAAAAACATACAAGTTGGGCTGGAGAGATGGCTTGGAGGTTAAGAGCACTGGATGCTCTTCCAGAGGTCTTGAGTTCAAATCCCAGCAACCACATGATGGCTCACAACCATCCGTAATGAAATCTGGTGCCCTCTTTTGGCCTGCAGGGATACATGAAGACAGAATACTGTATATATAATAAATAAATACTTTAAAAATAAAAAAAAATCATACAAGTTAGGGCACTAACCATACAAAAGGACACTACTGCATAGCTCAAAGTACAGAATAATGTTCTGGACAGAAAACCCACAGTTAACATATAACTTAATGGAACAAAAGCTAAATCAATAATGTAGAAGTATTAGACAAAAACCTTGGAAATGTTATTATACTAGCAGCCTCGCTCATATGTTATCAATGGTTCAGCTGTGTTTTCGGCTCCTGGCTTCCCCTTCACCCACCCCAGACAAGATTTTGCTGTGGCCCAGGGAGGCCGAAAATTCCCAATCCTCTGGCCTAGCTGGCTTCTGTAGCTATCCAAGCGCTACAGAACTGGGTATCACATTCAGCCAGATTTTTCCCCGAGACAGGGTTTCTCTGTGTAACCTTGGTTGTCTTGGAACTCAGAGATCCGTCTGCCTCTGCCCAAGTGCTGGGATTACAGGTGTGGGCCACCATCACACCACTCAGATGTTTCTTTCTAATGAATTGACCATAACATTTTTCAATTTCTAAAATGGCCAACAGACCATAGAAAGACATTTATTTAGGCACCTGCTTGAAACCAACAGCTTCAACACACTGCTGGCCTTGATTCAGGGCCAAAGTAAACAGAACTTCAATTAAACTGACCGAGATCACTACTAGCCTGTCTTATAACTACAAAATCAGAACCTAAACAAATAGTTTTAAAAGATACGGGTAAGGCAGTGTCTGGTCATTGGAAGAGACTGATTCGAGCAACGAACATCATCCACAAAAGCTAAGCACCTCTGACTGGAACGAGTTGTATGAGCCTAAAATTGAGAAAACAAATACAAATAAACCTACACAGGAAGTATATGATATTATTCAGTTATAAAAGCACAGTCAATCCGTACACGGTAGAAAATGCAACATTTAACAAATCCATTCACCAATATTGTAACAATGAAACTTCATGCATAAAGAATACACCTCTGTAAAAGTATGATAAAGTAGTCTGTTCCCATAACATATAGTCAACCTAGGTCTGAAAATATTAAATACAAAATTATAGCCAGGCGGTGGTGGCACACACCTTTAATCCCAGCACATCTGTCAATTTTTCAGTCACACAAGCAAATAAAGTTATGCGAGGCTTCAACAAATACAACAAAGATCGATCATGTTAATTCTGTCAACCTTATTTTCTTGACATTTAACTGGTACTATTCTTTCCATTTATTTTTTTTAACCTTTTTGTTTATTTGTTTTGATTTTTCAAGACAGAGATTCTCTGTGTAACAGCACTGGCCATCCTGGAACTCACTCTGTAGACCAGGTTAGCCTCCTTGAATCAGAGATCCCCCTGCCTCTGCCTCCAGAGTACTGGGATTAAAGACATGTGACACCGTAATAAATAAATTTAAAAAAAAAAGACATGTGCCAGCACTGCCTCACTTAGACATAGTGTTTCCATGATGACTCTATCAATAAATGAATGTGCACACCTAGAGATACATATGCAAATTACCTGTTGAGCAGCCCCATCTGTGGCCAGCATTCTGCGTTCCTTCAGCTGCCTGTGCAGTAAGGCTTCTACTCCATAGCGTTGACGGTATCGCCTAAGACATTTTAGTCGCTTTAAATTCTCTCTTTCTTTGGCTAAAAGTCCCTCTGGGCCAGTCAAGAGACTACTACCTAGAGAGTCACAAAAATTCAAATTTTTGAAACAGGACATCAATCTATCTGGTCTTGAACTCACAGCAAACTCCCTATGCTCAGCTTCTCAAGTACTGGGTGGGATACTTACTACATATTCACCACTAAAAAAAGTCAAGGTGTAACTAGTAACCAAGGATGCTTCTCCAAATTTAAGTAAACAGGGACACACTGACTATATGATAGTCAGATTCAACTACATCTAACTTACCTAAAGCTTCATGTTCCACTTTTCGATTGTGCAAGTAACGGCGCTTCTTCTCTTTGAGTAGGTGCTGTAGTCGTTTAAACTGATCAATGTACAAAGACTGCAAACGAATTAGCTTTTCTCTCATAATAAGAGCCACTTCTTCAGCTGTGTAGACACCAGCATGTCTGGAATAAAGCAAATTCAGCAAAGCATTAAAGGAACAGCAATAATGACAAACATGATGATGCATGCCTATAATCCCAGCCCTTAGAAGGTGGAGACACAAAGACCAGGAATTCAAAACTTGCCTGACCATAATAAATAAATAAAATATTAAAAAAAAAAAAGGGCTGGAGAGATGGCTCAGTAGTTAGAGCACTGACTGCTCTTCCAGAGGTCCTGAGTTCAATTCCCAGCAACCACATGGTGGCTCACAACCATCTGTAATCAGATCTGGTGCCCTCTTCTGGTGTGCAGATGTACATGGAAGCAGAATGTTGTATACATAATAAATAAATAAAATCTTTAAAAAAAAAAAATTTGCCTGACTATGTAGCAAATTCAAGGTCAACCTAGATATAAAACTATTCCAAAAAAAAAAAACAAAAAGCAACAACACATTAAAATTCTGAAAAGACTCAATTTGTATTTAACAAGGTCAATGCTAACTGATATATCTTGTTAAATAGGAATATTTTCAAACAGCATTTTACAGCAGTATAGTACAGCTCAATGGTAAAGTACTTAGCATGTATAAAGCCTTAGTTCCATCTTCAGCACTAAAAACCAGCAAAAAACCCACAATGATCCAGTCTTTCCTCCACATGTATTTGGGACCTGCAGTCAGAAGTGACGGTCAATGTCTCGTGTGGGTGCTGGGACCTGAACACAGATTCTTTGTAAGAGAGACTCAAGGAAGGGTGGTCTCTCCACAAAAGTATACAATGTGTTATCACACAAAATGGAACAGGAAGGGAGGTATCTCATTATTTATGTATTTAAATAAAGATGTGCAACATGAAAGTTTTACTAATCTACAGTTTATTTTTACACAGTAATTGAACAGAGAACCCCTGGTCAGAACAACTTAGTATTTTAATTACAAAATATACCAGGGGCTGAAGATGGTTCAGGGATTAAGAGCAGCGAACCTGGGTTTAATTCACAGGACTCACAGTTCATTATTCTTACTCCAGTTCAGGGGGTCCAGTACCCTTTTTGAGCCTCCATGTACACAGATACACATTTAGGCCAACACAAAAATATCAAATAACCATATGTGTTCTAATTTTCCTGTAAATACAATCTTATACTGAGACTTTTTGGTCTTCAAAGACTAACTACAGTCCAAGGGATACAGCTTGAAGACAGAATACTGGCGTTATGCCAAGTTCGTGAGACCCCAAAAAAGACCACCAAGAAGCCGACTAACTGATGCAAATGCATAAAATTTAATGTTAAGTTATAAGCCTGAGCAGGGACCCTGTCCAGCAAACTGGCACAACAGCTGCAGTAAAAGGGCGCCTGGACTCAATTGCAAGAGGTTTTTAAAGGGAAAAAATGGCAAGCAGGGTGGTACGTGCCTTGGCTGTTCAGGATTGGGTAAGAGTAGGTGACCTTTGGATTTATCGATATGGGGGCTAGGGGAATTTCAAAATTGTTACTAACAGTTGCGGTGAGAAGATTAGTAGTCATTGCCTGACCACCTGGATGGGGTCACTTTGTCTGGGGTGGGCATAGTTTGGGTGCTCCTTGGAACTGTTTATCGTTCCTTGGCTGGAGCTCAATCAGCCTTGTGCTACACAGGGAATTTCTCAGGGTGGCTTTTTCTGAAGATGGAGTTAGCTCATCCTCTCCAGTTTACCTTGCTCTTACAGTAAGTATAGTCCCAGGAGATCAGACACCCTCTTCTGGCTAACTCGGGGACTGTACACAAGTGGTACACAGTCATACTCAAAACACTAATACACACAAAAAATAAATAGTAAAATCTCAAAAAAGAAAACACCACTAGAGCTGAGCATAGATGGCACATGTCTATGCATTCACAAATCCCAGCATTCAGGAGGATGGTTAAGTCTGAGATACCTCTGGTACACAAGACCTTCTCTATTATAAAAAAAATGTGGCCAGGCATGTTGATGCACACCTTTAATCCCAGTGCTGGAAGACAGAGGCAGGTTGATCTCTTGTGACTTTGAAGCCAGCCTGAGTTCCAGGACAGACAGGGTTATATAGACCTTGGCTCCAAAAAAAAAAAAAAGTACATACATAAAGTATGGTTGATGCATTCCTATAATCAGAGCACTCAGATGAGGAGTTTAAAGTCATCCTTGGCTCCACAGCCTATTGAGAACAGCCTGAGGTACATGAGACCGGGTCTTAAAAACATTTTTCCCTATATTCTGAAATATACAGAATACAGAAAAAAATTTACTTCAGGACTGAAAGCAAATCTGCCAAAACTTTAAAAGTGAAACCAATATGCACGTATTTAGAATAGTAGTTAACGTCAAAGAAAAGTCAAGTAAAACAGAAAAGAAAAATCAAGAACAAAACCAGGGGCTGGAGAGATGGCTCAGAGGTTAAGAGCACCGACTGCTCTTCCAGAAGTACTGAGTTCAATTCCCAGCAACCATATGGTGGGTCACAACCATCTGTTATGAGATCTGGTGCCCTCTTCTGGTGTGCAGATGTACATGGAAGCAGAATGTTGTATACATAATAAATAAAATCTTTGGAAAAAAAAAAAAGAACAAAACCAGAAAACTGTAAAAATTATGACACCCAGTCAGGTATGGTGGCCCACACCTGCAACCCTATCCCTCATGAGGCAGAGGCAGGAGGTTCTTAAGTTCAAGGCCAGCCATGGATACACAGATGCTGTCTTATAAGAATGATGAGAGATAGAGTGGGGGGTGGGGGGGGGGGGGGGGGGGGGTGTTAAGACTTTTTATTACAGAGGTAACCACATGGTGGCTTACAACCATGCAGTACTCTGGTTCCAGTGTATTCAGTGACCTCTTCTGACCTCTATGGAAATCAGACATACATGTGGCACACTACATACGAAGGCAAAACACTTACATAAACCCTTTATTTTGAAAAAAGTAAAAGTAGCCGGGCGTTGGTGGTGCACGCCTTTAATCCCAGCACTTGGGAGGCAGAGGCAGGCTTATCTCTGTGAGTTCGAGGCCAGCCTGGTCTCCAGAGTGAGTGCCAGGATAGGCTCCAAAGCTACTCTGTGTAGTAGAAACCCTGTCTGGGGGGGGGGGAGTAAAAGTAATTCTTCCTATGTAAACAAGGTAATAGGCTATGCCTGCATTAATAAGTGATATAAAACACTAACCTAATGACAAGTTTATTAAAATGAAATTAAAGCAGGCATGGTAATGCATGCCTGTCATCCCAGAACTAAGGAGGCTCAGGAAGAATGAATATTTAAGTCTGAGGTCAATCAGGGCTGATCAGGTAGACTCTGCCTCAAAAATCCAAAACTAAAACAAGTAATAGGAAATTATTTTTCACTCTAGCAGCAGAGAATATAAACAATAGTATGGAAGTCAAATTTTAAAAGGAAACAAGACCTAACCATTATACTTTGGCTAAAATGTTATAAATCTTGTAAATAAGCTTTAAAAATGAAATTGTTAAGATTATGTTTTACAAAGCAATTTAATGGTTACTTTGAAGAAAAAAATCCCATCTATATAACTATAGTGTGAAAAAAATCAGTTACTGCAGTACATTAAGTGTATTCAACAACAATATAAATACCTACTCAACAATTTGGCACACTGCTTTAATCCCAGTACTGGGGAGGCAGAGGCAAGAGGATCGGATTTCCCTGCCAGCCTGGTCTACAGAATGAATTCCAGAGCAGCCAGGGCAACTCGGGAGAAACCCTGTCTTCAAAAAAACCAATAAAAAGCTGGGTGGTGGCACACACCTTTAATCCCAGCGCTCTGGGGGCAGAGCAGGTGGATTTCGGTTAGTTCAAGGCCAGCCTGGCTTGCAAAATGAGTTCCAGGACAGCCAGGACTGTTACAAAGAAACTGTAATACATAAGTGAAGACATAGTATCTAACCCTAAGATGATTCAAAAACTAGTACTAGAAGAAACAGAAGCCTGAGCCAGTCAGAGATACATAATGAGATCCTGCCTCAAAAAATTATTAGATTTCAATGGCAATGTTCAATATTTCTACAACTCTTAGATGACCAGGGGTTACAGCAGACCTTAACATATAATTAAATCAGTTTTCCTTTCATTAGACATGAAACCAAAACAAATTACTGAGCACTTTTATTTCCCATTTAAAAAGTCAGAACCATAGAATTTTGCAGCAAGTGTCCAAGTATAATAGCTCATTATTTCTGAGATTTATGACAAGCATGTATTTAAATCCATTTTCTCTTCTCTAGCCAGCCAGTGCTTTTCTGTCTATCTCCCTCCCATTCCTATGTCAAGGTATCTTTCTTCCCTATAACATCTCATGGGCATAACTCAGTTCCAAGACTTCCATAAAAGAATCAAGAAATCTTGCCTTGGAGCAAGATGGTGTTGAACCATGACACTTAAACCCACTTGTATTAATTAACCACATGCCTCACTACATTTCACATACTAACTACATAAAATATGTAAAAGCCTTAGGTGGAGTTACAACTTACTTTAGGGGATCTTCTTGATCACTGTCTATGCTATCAGCTTCACTGTCAGGGTCACCTCTCCATGTCTGATCCACAGTAATGGGTTCCTGGTCCCCATCACTCCAGCTGTCTTCATCTGAGGCAAGGAAGGAAGAATAGCCATTAAGACTTCCCACCTCTGTAACTCCACACATGAAGCTACATTACTTAAGAGATGAACCTGAAACCTTAAAATTCAAATTTTTTAACTTTTTAAAAATTTAACAGAAGGAAAGATCAGCAGATCAGGAGAATGTATCTAAACAAAACAATGTATCTAAGCAAAACAACTAACTAGCAATAGCAATCCTGGATTTCTCACCAAATTCCCAGTAACAACCACAAATGCACAAAGCCTTGAACTAAACCAAGTTCATTCTTTAGCTTCTTCCTTTTTGACACCAGCAGAGAAGACCCTGACATCCTTACCCAGTATCCGGCTAGCTTCGCTTCGACTGCTCTCTGGGGTCTGAGAGCCCAGCTCTGTTTTAGCATATGAGCTCAACTGGCATAAGAGGGTTTCACCCATAGGGCCTGGATTGTTCTTCTTCATTTGAGCATGAAGTGCTAGGGCATTCCTTCGAGCATGTTCGGCACAGAAAGATACCCTAAGGAGACAAAACATTAATATTTAATCAGTTCTTTCTTGAAAGGAGTTAGCAATATTCAGCCACCAAATAACTTTTTTTGTCTTTAAGAAATTTAAAATGATTATTATATTCACACCTTGAAGACCAGTGCGAAAGCCAGGGGTGGTGGTGGTGGTGGTGGTGCACGCCTTTAGTCCTAGTGCTCAGAAGGCAGAGGCAGCTGGATCTCGAAGTTCGAGGCCAGCCTGGTATACAGAGTGAGTTACCCAACAGCCAGGACTACATGAGATGCTGTCTCATTTGGACCAGAAACTTGACTGCTTCCAAGTCAACTCACCCTGAGTTTTGTTTTTGCTTAGTGTGTTATGTGTAATGCTCAAAGTCAAACCCAGAGCCCCATTCATGGAAGGACTCTAACACCATGATATCACCAGCCCACACAAGCTGTTATTAAAGGGAAATGCAAGTAGCTTAACCAGTGTTCAAGTCATCAGACAAAGCAGTCTAACAACAAAATTGTTAACAATACCTCACAGAAAATCAGAGATGCTTTTATTTTTCAAAACTACTTCTGGAAACACATTTTACAAACAATCCACTCTAGACAGATATGGTTCAGCTTTAAAATTAAAGATGTAAACAAATTATCTAGTAAAGTCAAATTCCTGCACATATATGATAAAAGTTATAAGCCCCTTCCAAAACACACAGGTATACATTGTTCCTATTATCTAACAAGGAACAGTGCTGAGCAAGTGAGTCAGCACTCGAGCATTAAGAACTTAGAGGGACAATTCAATGATTCCAGCAAACAAAAGCTCCTACTGCCAAAGCCTGACTACCTGAGCTCCATCCCCACCCACTAGGCATAAGGAGAACCAACTCAGGAAGCTGTCCTCTGACCCCTCGCGCTTGTGTGTGTGTGTGTGTGTGTGTGTGTGTGTGTGTGTGTGTGTGTGTGTGTGTGTGTGTGTGTGTGTGTGTGCGCGCGCACACACGAGTGCTAGCATGTGTGTGGTATCATGTGTAAACATGTAATAATTTTTTTTAATTTAAAGCTGAGTATGGTTGTGCTGACAGTAATCCCTGAGGCAGGAGTTCCAAATTAGTCTAGACCAGTCAGAACCTGTTTCAAAAACCACAAGTAAACAATTAACGAAGTGACCCTGCCTCAGGTGTGCTTCCAGTTCTCATCTTTGGAGAGGGTGTTTCAGACAGGGTTTCTCCATGTGTCTGTCCTGGAGCTCACTCTATAAACCAGACTGTCCCGGAACTCAGAGATCCGCCTGCCTCTGCCTCCCAATGCTGGGATTAAAGGAGAGCATCACCACCTCCCAGCTTCAGTTCTGAAAAGAATATATCCTTAATCCTCCACAAATATTTCCAAGTCTACATACTATATTCCCCTTTCACTTTAAAACTGAAGGCAGGGGACAGGCAGGGTGGTGTACCCTTGCACTCACGAGTGCTTCATGTTCGAGGACAACCTGATCCACATAGTGAATTCCAAGACAGACAGGCTTTACGTGCATTGATCTTGTCTTTAAAAAATGCTATGTACATTGACCCTGTCTGGGAAAAAAAGGAAGGCAGAGGGGCAGGGGACCAGGGCTTGGTCCATACCTATAATCCCCAGCCCTCTCAAGGCCAAAAGGTTGCCAAGATCGAGCTGAAGAGAAGGCTCAATGGCTGCTCTTTCTAGAGGATCCAGGTTTGATTCCCAACAACCATCTGTAATTCCAGTTCCAGAGGACCCAATGCCTTCTTCTGTCCTCTGCTGGCATCAAACATGAACGTGTACACGCAGGCCAAACACCCATACATATAAATTTTTTTTTTTTTCAGATTGTAAAGGGCAGCCTGGTCTACAGAGCCAGTGCCAGGCCAGGCTCCAAAGCTACGGAGAAACTCTGTCTTGAAAAACAAAAACAAAAAATTGTAAAGGGTTGCCCAAAATGTTCCAAGCCAGCCTGGACAGTACAGGGAGTTCCGGGCATAGAGGGAGACTGTCTTTAAAACAGCAAAACGACAAAGGGGCCAGCCCGGTGACTCTACAGGTCAAGCTTAACCACCTTCTACCCAAGAAGTAGAAGAACCGACTCCAGCATCTGACCTCCGCACGTGTGCCGTGACTTGAGCACACCCACACATACAACACACTAGGAACTAGAAATAAATGCTCCAAAATGCAAGTAATAATAAAAACCTAGGGTTGGAGAGATGGCTCAGCGGTTAAGAGCACTGGCTCTTAACCCACATGGCGGCTCACAACTAACTCCAGCTCCAAGGGATCTGATACCCTCACGCAGACACACACACGCAGGCAAAACACCAATGCACATAAAATAAAAATAAATCATTTATTAAAATAAATAAATAAATAAAAGCCTAAGGCGTTGAAAAGGGCTCAGTGACACAGTAATGACAAACTGTGACTCCTCATCCTTGCCTAGTCTTCTAGGCACACACACACACACACACACACACACACACACACACACACACACACACGGAACCACACATACCCATCTTTCTTCTCGGGCTTGGGGGCAGCACTGGGACACCGTTTTCCATTCTTCGTCGATATATAGCTACATTGTTTGAAGGGTGCATTCTTGTCTTCAAGGATATGCTTGATGCAAAATTCCTGCCCCTCCAGACGCGGTTGAGAGCATGGGCGGTGAGTGAACGAACAAGAAAGGGGCTCCTGCGATCTGGGCACTGGGGTGATCCTCCCCCGATTCGTTGGCAAGACGTGAATCCGAATCCTGTTCATACCAAAACCTGCAGAGGGCGAGAGGTGAAGGGGGAAGGCATGTCACACAAAAGACCAAAAGGGCTTTAACCTTGCCCAAAGTCCTTGTCTGCGTTCTTCCG